CTCTCTCTCTCTCTCTCTCTCTCTCACACACACACACAGGGACATCACATTGACATACATTCAGTCTCTCATCCTATTTAACTATAACTACATGAAAACATAACATCTGTCTCTGTCTCACACATCTTTCAGCCTTGACTCTGTGTTGATGGAGATGAGGAGCCGTCCGTCTTCATTCCTTTCACTTTTCAACCTCTCTGTCTTTAGGCTCCCTACTGCTGGACAGTTTGAAGGAGCACATCTCGACGACAGCCCAGGACCACTGCAAAGCAATCTACCTACACGTCCTCACCACTAACAACACTGCCATCAGATTCTATGAGAACAGGGACTTCAGGCAGCACCACTACCTGCCCTACTACTACTCCATACGAGGGGTCCTCAAAGATGGATTCACATACGTGCTCTACATCAACGGGGGTCATCCACCTTGGACAATATTATATCCTTTTGTGGAAGCAGGGAAAGAAGTCCCTTCTTCTCTGTTGTTTCGAACCAGTTTGTTTTTACCTTTCACTCTAACACAAACACTGAAGTTGCTCCAACGAATTGAAACTTTACCATGTGGCCTGGAGGAAAGATGATGATCAAACTATCGTATCTCAGTTTTTAATCTGATGACTGATGAAAACAATGATCATAATAACAGTGAAGAAGATTCAGACCCAGGCGACGTTCCTAAGAGACTAATGTTTGCTAGCTCCTCAGATAAACCCTCAGGTTTTAGGTTTCAAACATTACTGTTACTTTAGGTCTTCATGGATTCAGTCCCACAGACATGTCGGTCAGATGAGCCAGATATTCACGTGGCGTTTTCATGTTTCCTTAACTGGTCGTCCCACTGATTATATCCAGCACATTGGCTCGACCCTGGCCAGCCTGAGCCCCTGCTCCATCCCACAGAGGTTGTACCGACAGGCCCAGTCCCTGCTCCGCTCACTGCTGCCCTGGTCCAACATCGCCTCCAAGACTGGTATCCAGTACAGCAGAACAATGTGACACAGCATGGTGGGTGGGAGTCGTGGCAACAGCAGCTTCACCGTCATTTGTTTTCAAGTTTGTCTACGAAGAGGTGTCTAATTGTTTCTCTCTCTTTGTCTCCGTCTCTTTCAGGAGTGCAGGTGCTCCATTTTTCATCAGTCTTCCCCTGTACAGACGAAGATGTACACACACTCGCTCACATTCTCGATCATGTATGTCTTTCCACCCCCTGCAGGACTCAGGTTCAACCTGTGCCCGACCGGTCACACACCAGAATATTTCTCCAGATTCAGTACCTGTGTGGCACTTTTCACTCAAGGTCTGGGTTTGCAGCTGTAGTTGTGAATCCACTTTTAAACAGGGTTGTTGCTTTGCAACATTATTCACAGTGCAATGTTGTGTTTACACTGACAGACAGTGTACTCTGGTAAAACTCTGGTTCCCTCGACCTCGTTGGGCGTGAAGTCACTCTGATGTGTATGAGAGAACACACATAATTAATCTACATCAACAGACCAGGTCTCCTCAGTCCACTGCAGCGTTTCATAGCTTTTCTACTGGTTTTTATTCAGAAGTCCAACACGTCCCCATGATGTGGTGTCCGTCTGGTACCAATGTCAAAGGGTAACTTTTAACACGCGAGCTGATCGATCGATCCAAATTCTTATCGTTGATTAAATGATAAATGGTGAACGTCTGTAGTTACTAGAGAGAGATCCCGTGTCTGGTGCTCAGTCTAACCAAGTCTGAGCAGTGTGAGAGCGGAGTGAACGACCTGGTTCTGTGACGTCGGTCCTGATAACCACGGGTCGGGGGTGTAACACACACACACACACACACACACACACACACACACAC